AGGTCGGGCGTCTAGGCACAGAAGAGAGTCGTCTAGGTGGCCGATGGGGACTTGTTGGTCACAGGACAGATAACGGGGACCGTTTGCTGCAACTGTGCACAGACCACAACCTGTTTCTGGCCAGCACTAACTTCCGGCACAGTCATCGCCGGTGTACCACCTGGCGTCCTCCCCCTGCATCTCAAGCCTGGACTCAGATTGATCACATCGCGATCAGCTACCGCTGGCGTGGTTGTGTACAAGACTGCCGCTCCTTTTAGAGTACCTATCTGGAGTCTGATCATGCCCTGGTCTGCGCCAATCTCACCTTACTTTTCAGTGGCCGAAGGATTGACCGCCATCAACGGATCGATGTTAGTAAACTGTCTGCAACTTCTGTTTCAAGTAAGTATCGAGCGGAGCTAGCCTCTAGGCTAGCTACCATCCCACCGAAAAGTATAGATGAGCATTGACTGCATCTTCATGACGCCATGAAAATGGCGAGTAAAGCCGCTTGCGGCTTCGCTAAACGTCCCTCTTACAAGCACTGGGTTTCTTCTGGCTCCTTACAACTGATCGAAGCCCGTCGGTCTACTCCGGGTGACCGTGATTTGACCACAAACGAAGGCTGTTACGTAATGAAATCGGCAAAGCTTGCGTAAGGACTGAGAAACCTGGTGGTCGGAGAGTGCTAGTGAGATGGAAGCAGCAGCTGCATCTGGTAACTGCCGGAAGCTCTTTCAACTCTTCCGAGCCATTGGCAGCGAGAGGTCAAGTATGAGTGAAACAATCTACGAGGATGACGGGATGCCAATCACTAACATCTCTCGACGTCTTGGACGATGGGCGGAATTCTTCGAAGGGTAGTTCAACTGGCCTGCTGCTCCGGCAACATCAACCAGTTAGTCCTGCCCATCATGGCCAGTGGCGACTGATCCACCAAACGAGAAGGAAGTCCGCAAGGAACTCCGACTCTTGAAGCGCTACAAATCACCTGGCCCAGATGACTTACCTCCGGCTCTTTTTAAAGATGGTGGTGACTTTCTGGCTAAGAAACTGACGTTGTTGTTTGCAAAGGTTTGGGAGCAAGAAAGTGTTCCAACATCATGGAATGAGTCAATAGTCGTCCCTATCTTTAAAAAGGGTTCACGTTGTTCCTGTAACAACAATCGGGTGATAAGTCTAATTTCGATTGCGTCCAAACTATTGGCTTCTATCATTCTTCGTAGGTTGTTTAAAACCCGAGAACGATTGACTCGCGAGGAGCAGGCTGGTTTTCGTTCTGGTCGAGGATGCATTGATCACATCTTCACCCTCCGCCAAATGTTAGAACACCGTCATAATTATCGCAGGCCAACAATCGTAGTGTTTCTTGATAACAGGGCGGCCTTCGATTCGTTGGATGGGACTGTTCTCTGGGATTGTCTATTAAAGAAGGGTGTGCCTGAGAAATTCATTAACATCTTAAAGGCCCTGTATATGAACACCTCAGGCAGAGTGAGGACATACAACCACCTTTCTCCCATGTTCCATTCGAGCAGTGGGGTTAGGCAGGGTTGCCCAATCTCACCATTCCTCTTCAACTTTGCCATCGACGACATCCTGGAAACAGCTCTGATGGATGTAAGTAATGGCGGTGTGGATATGTTGCCTGGAGAACGACTTCTCGACCTTGAGTATGCGGATGATATTGTCTTACTGTGCGATAATGCTCAAGGCATGCAATCAGCACTTAATCAGTTGGCAATCAGTGTCCGCAGGTACGGCATGTGCTTTGCACCCTCCAAGTGCAAAGTACTCCTACAAGACTGGCAGGATTCTCATCCTGTACTCACCCTGGATGGTGAGCAGATCGAAGTAGTTGAGAAGTTCGTGTATCTAGGTAGCTATATAAGTGCTGGTGGTGGCGTGAGTGATGAGATTGATGCACGTATAATGAAAGCCAGAGCGGCTTATGCCAATCCGGGCCATCTTTGGCGCCTTCGTGATGTTAGTCTGGCTGTAAAATGTCGGATCTACAACGCGTCGGTGAGAGCAGTTTTGCTCTATGCTTGTGAAACCTGGCCTCTCCGAGTTGAGGATGTTAGACGTCTCTCTGTGTTCGATCATCGTTGTCTCCGAAGGATTGCTGACATAGTGGCAACACCATGTTAGTAATGCAGAGGTTCGGCATCGTGTGTTCGAGCACAGAGACGATAATTCAATTGGTGTCACCATCTTGAAACACCGACTTCGGTGGCTTGGACATGTTTTACGAATGTCGTCCCAGAGACTTCCACTTCCGACCCTGGGACTGGTTGGAAAAAGCGGAGAGGAGGTCAGTGTATGACATGGTGTCATGGCATGAAAGAAAGCTGCAAAGGGCTAGCTTCCGTCGGTCGTTCACGACTCCCTGGCTGGGGTCCGAGAGATGGTGCAACACAGTGGCTAGAGACGTTATCAGATATGGCTCAGAATAGAAGCCAGTGGCATGCCTGATTTAACCTTCTTCTACTTTCTTCATAAAGAGTGGCTATAACTTTCCTAACTGAGAGAGCTCTTCTGGTTGTACATTTCAATCCCCCTTATCTTTTCATCCTTTCTCTTCCTATTTTCATTATTTTGTGTGGCGCATATGTATCTGGTGCCCTTTTGTACCAATATGCATGTGTTTAAATAAATAAAAATATTTCTAATAATATGACCACTATCAATTACATGTTCCAAGATAGAACTGAGTATTGTTTTCATCTGGTCCTTCCCAAACCATACTGGTAGATGTTCACTGATTCATTAGACTGATAGGTCGTGGGTTCGAATTATGCAAGTGCGAGGTCGTAGATGCTCACTGCTAAGGAGACCTGTAACAGGACGAAAAGGCCGTCCAGTGCTTTCAGGCTTTCCATGGTGGTCTAGATTCAATTGACTCATGCTTTCAATTATGATAATCACAATTCATCATTTATAGCTTGGATAATATTCACAAGTGTTTTATAAAATGAGATAAGAATACTTAAAAACATACCTACATAGTTTAAACACGAACATACATCAATTTCAGCTGAATAACAATATTTCCACTTCAAATGGTCTTTTCTTGTTGTTGTTATTGTTGAAGAAGAAGAAGAAATGACAAAGTAAAATAAGCGAATTTGTTTACTGTTGATTAAAATGAGATGTGAAGAGAAAAAAGAAAAAAAAACGAACCTGCAAAAATTCTTTTCCTTTCAAACGAATTTCACATAATGGTTAACCATTGAAGAAAAAGAAACATAATCAATAATATTGTATTAAAACAGATTAGATATTAAATGATCAAAAGTTGTTGACAGAATTTATCTTTATATATAGAGAGTTGAAATCATAAGTCAATTGAAGCTAGACCACCAAGGAAAACCTGAAAACAGTGAACGGCCGTTTCGTCCTATTATGGGACTCCTCAATGACAGTGTGCATCCACGATCTCGCCTCGTGAGATTCGAAGCCAGAACCTACCAGTCTCGCGCCAGAGCACTTGACACTTGAGAATTTGTTTACTATAAAGGATGTAGTGAGCTCTTTTCTTTTCAATTTCATAGTTAGCATCATGGACAAAACTTAGTTAAACGATCAAAAAAAACTAAGAATTGAATAACTGTTGTCATTGTACAGGATACTTCATTGATATTGCTGTGTCTCTAAATCACCAGAGATTGAACTTAGAACTTTAAGGATCCATGGTAAGCGCCTAAGTTTAAGATCACTGAGTTGCAATTCATTGGCTTTTAACGTTTAACTGAAATTCTCCAGTAAAAATAACCATGATACTGAATAACTTTGATAATGTGAAATGTAGAGTTCTAAGGGTTTAGGATAGTAATGATGATCACCAAAGTTACGGGTTGTTAAAATTGACAAAAATAATCTTGATCAAATTCATTTAGTATTGTTTGTTTGAATCTTCCAATTGATGCTTAGGACTGCAATTGATCAATCTTTTATTGATATATGTGCATACTGTGCGTATTGCTTCGATATAGCCTTAATTCACAAGCATTGTAAACAAAGATGGATGTCGGCTAGCAGTGGACGCACGTATCGTCCTATTTGGGACTCATCAGCTGGATGTACCTTCATCTCAGAGTTGATGTTCACTCTGGCACTCGAAACCAATACCATTCACATGAAATGCCATCGCGTTATCCAATCAGCCACTGAGTCCTGATAGCCAGTTGCTTGTGCAATGGGTTGAATTTTAAACTCACTCATGCCAATTAGATACTGATCAGTTGCAGTCCTAAATATCAATAGGAAGAATTATAGCAACTATCCTACAATCAGTTTCGAGTATGGTCAATTTTGGTTAATCCTTTTTGTTAACTTAACAGACATTGTCATTTGGATAATAACAAATCGCATATTCTTTGGACTGTTATGATCACTAGAACAAATGACACTCTAGCTAAAATGTTGATCGCTTAAGTATCATTCGATGACCCATACTCCTCCCCATATATGTATGCACGCAAATCCTATTATCAGCCTTTGTTTTATTTCGCTGTGCCCTTATACAATTTGACTATAAATTGCCTATGTAATTGCTTGCTCACTCACTCCTAGCTGCTCACTGATATTACCTCATGTGCTTGTAACCTTCTGGCCTGAGTCATTTGTCAAAAAATTGTAGTTGCTGCTTCCCTTTGCCTTCTGATCTTAAGATTTACATTATAACGGTTATCGAAGTGAACGATTAGTGAAGCACGGCACTACAGATTCAAACAAACAATACTAAGTGAATTTAAACTTCACCCCATTGCACAAGCAACTGGCTATCACTTCTCAGTGGCTGAGTAGATAACGCGATGGTGTTTGAAGCGAATGGTACTGGATTCGAATACCATAATGAACACCAACTGTGGGATGCAGGTACATCCACCTGACGAGTCCCAAATAAGACGAAACATGCGTCCTGGATTCCCCTGCTAACCACTATCCATCTTTGCTTATCTTAATTCACGTTTTTAGGTTACCTATTACATTAAAGACAAATTAAAAGTTTGCTTAGAGATAGTTACGAATCAATTTATGTAAACGTTTAGTTAAAACATATTCACACACACACACACATACACAAGAATATTGATCACAAATACAAAAATCCTATACAGAGTTATGTAATATTTGGCATACAAATTCATAAATACGTAAAAATTTACAAACACAGATTGTTGAATAAACCTTGACAACAAAAATAACCGTAGAAAAAGTTTAGTACAATGATTCGGACATAAAAAAGCTCATAGTCAATAAAGTAGTAGAAAAAAAAATTTACTTGAACTTCACGATACTACTTACTAATCAACTAATCAACATTAATAAACAAATATCATACGAAATACAAAATAATTAGCAATAGTATTGTAAGTAGTAAGTAGTAGGGTTATAAGAAATGAAAATAATTAGTAGTATTGTAAGTAGTAGGGTTATATGAAATGAATAAATAGAAATTAACATTCTCTTTTGTTTTAAAATAATTCATTTTATTAAAAGCAGATTGAAACATTGAATACTTATAATTAAGTATGCATTAATATGAATCCAATTTACAGCATGATTACAAGCATGTCTACCATTGATAAGTAGTACTTCTGCGAAGGATTCTATTGAGAAAAAATTTACATTAAACGATTAGCATTAGTTAATTAAAGCATATTTATAAGTATATATGATGATATCAGATTAAAGATCAGAAAAGGGTTTTGTAGAGAATTCAGTATTTTCATAGTTGAAATCATGAGTCAATTGAAGTTAGACCACCATGGAAAACCTGGAAGCATTGGACGGCCGTTTCGTCCTATTATGGGACTCCTCAGCAGTGCTGCAGTGAATTGATTGAAGTTAGACATTAACACCGTTGGATGCCGGCTCAGTAGTCTATCGTTCAAGTTCTCTGACGCGAGACTGTTAGGTCCTGAGTTTGAATCTCGTGAGGTGGGATCGTGGATGCGCACTGCTGAGGACTCCCATAATAAGACGACATGGCCGTCCAGTGCTTCCAGGTTTTCCTTGGTGGTCTGGCTTCCATTGACTCATGATTTCAACTATGAAGATATCAGATTAGTTTATTATTGGGAATACCAAGGAAATACCTTGAAAAATGCCCAGAGGGGTACTAAAAATTGTGATAAACATTTTATTTAGTCAGCATTCAATAGAGTATCTCAGAAACATCTAAAAAGTAAAGAGCCACGTGACACACTTCTAATTGAATGATTACCTATGCTACTACTATGTTAATTAGGGTTCCACAACCTTTCAGACACCGAGGTCCGTCTAAAATGCTATAAATAACCTCAATTTTCTGGACTAACCTTGGAGTAATGCGTTTTTTCGCCATTTCGTGCCCTTACTCTCGTATTCACATTATCATGTAAATTTAGCCTAGAGTTACTAGAAGAGCTTAGGAAACCTATTCAAGCGTTCGTTAAAAAAATTTATTTTTCGTATTATAAACAATTAAACTATTCGACCATTACCATACATGTGTATAGATCGTTAATTGAAAATCTCAAAGACGATAATATTTATATAGTTGAAATCATGAGTCAATTGAAGATAGACCACCAAGGAAAACCTGAAAGCACTGGACGGCCATTTTGTCATATTGTGGGACTCCTCAGCAGTGCGCATCCACGATCCCACCTCGCACATGAGACTGATAGGTCCTGGGCTCGAATCATGAACAGTTGTTTCGTCTAGGCATTAATCACTTTCAACCTCCACATTGAGTATCGAGCTCAGAACACCAGGTCTTGTATACAAATGATTAACCGTCAGACCACTAATCCAGAATACAATAATGTATTTATCTAACCGTAATCTTACCATGGTATTACAAGATTATTTCCCATTTTTTAGTGAATAACTGACTAACATCCGACACAATTAGATCCCATTGGTCACAGTTTCTCATTGAAATTCTACGATTACTTCTTAGAAATAAATATATATCGGATTCATCGCAATAGTCAGCAATAAACAACGTAGCTAATGGATGATATGTACATCTACCCAAGTCGCTAAACCACATCAATAGAGCGAGATGAAATTATCAAGATAAGTCCAAGAGTCGAAGAGATACTAATACCATTTCTGGTTGAAGGAACGAAATGAATCAAGATAATATGGATTCATGGAATATCCAACTCAGAGAACAAAACTTACTTACAATTTTCAAACTCAAGATTGAAGGAAAGAAAAAGAGTGAATGAATCTGAGTTAATGTGAGAGATTTTTTGAACTATGTCTCTTGACATTTTCAACTATTCGTTAAGATTATCATACTGATCCTAATCATGTAATCTGTATCTGCCACCACGGCTCAATGTAATGGTTAACAACTTCATGGACAGATACCATTTAGACCATTGCCCTCTACTAGCTTCCTTCTAACTTACTTCTACACTAGACTACTTTGAGTGTCAATATGGGCGGTGTTTAAGCACACGTAATACATATCATTATAGACACTTAACAACAGACATTTTAAGAATCTAAGAAAGTGAAAATCTTATTTACAGCAAAATCTTTAGTTGTTATCTTCGTTGTTTATCACTGTCCCTTTTCCCTCTGACATTATAGAAAGGGATTTAAAAGATTTTTAATATCAGTAGGTAAATAATTGACCTTTAAAAACTATAATATTTTGTACGTCAAAGTTGAGACGATGACTTATCAATCACTTCCCACTTCCCTAAGATTTTGTAATCTCAATACTTCAATGGGTAACTAATGGACAGGAAACTATTGTATTCAAAGGTTATATTTGACCTTAAACCCCCAAAAGATCCTAGACATTATATGGAAATTTGTAAATTGTTCTCTCATAGTAAAATCATTTCCTAGAATTCTGTTGGAAGGTTACAAGAAACTCTGTTGACCACAGTATTTTCATCATTTTCCTATTTACTAAAGACTTTTCAAATTGAAAAAACTGAAGTGAAGGGATTTATTCATATAATTGACAAGCCTACAATATACACATTCTTCTTTATAACTTCTCTCACTGTAATAATTTGATTGTTTAATGACTATTACATTTATTTATTTATTTAAACACATAAATATTGGTACAAGGAAGCACCAGATACATATGCGCCACACAAATCTCATTTGAGGGCTGAGATACTACCCAGGTGCCCAAACCGAAGCAGGTGGTTTTCTTAGAGGACCACACACGTAGCCTTTGACCTAATGGTCTGATCCACAAAGCAGTGGAGCATTGTAAGAAGATGCAGTCCCATGCTAGCCGGTGACCAACGATTGGTTCATATGCCATTTGTTCCCTCATGATAATGGAGCTCATGTGCACCATTGGTTTGGGATGGGGATTTTCCAACTCCCCTAGTTGGACTTTCTGTGTCCACCAATCCGGTTAAAGCGCCGGACATTAGCTTTTCGTCCTCTCAATTTCGTAAACAACAGTAGTGCAACGAGAAGGCAGTGAGTAGGACTTCCCTGGCAGAGGTTATATACTATTACATCATTTCCCACAATTCAACATGTCGTAGCCATACATAGTTTTATTGTCATCGAGATTTCCGGGTATATGTCCTTAAAATATTGATACTACTTCACAACTGTTAATTCTCATATATCAGTAAGCACAGCTGTACCGGTTTCTTCATGACCCAATTCATTTTTAAAACCATCAATTGTGTAAGAGTCATCACTTATACACCTCTCAAGTCTATATAGCTGGTACTGGAATATAACATTATTACGTTTATCCTGATACTATGATGATTTTATTTTCACTACACAACTGTATGAAAGCTTTTCAAAGTAACTCCCTCTCTTACGCATGCAATTTTGAGTCAAATAAACCAGTGGCCATGTCTCAAACTGATCGATAAAACTCAATCAGAACTAGGAAGGACTTGATATGTATAATATTGGTAATTATTCAGTGGTTGATTGTTTGAGTAAATGATGTTTTAAGCGAGAGAATAGAGCAGAAAAACATGCTCAGAATCTAACAATAGTATTATTATTATTCTAGTTTTGCACTTACCTGTAATCATTGTAGTGGCACTAATAGTACCTAAACTATTCGATGCAGTACACGTGTAAAGATCACCAAAATCTAGTGTTTTTATTGGTGTCAAATCAAGCACCAGATCACGAATTAAACCAGCATTTAAATAGGTTAATTTTGTTCTATAAGAAATTAGATTAAAATATTTTTTTTGAAAATCAACAAAAGAAAACATTTTTTAAGAAAAGTGTTAATGTATACTGATTAACTAATAAGTAGTAAATAATGACATGTATTATTATAAGGGTGAAACTGTTGGGTTCTTCGTGTAACACCGAGGTCTATTTTTAGTTAAGTAGCAATTGAAAATAAGGAGGCATTGACCAACTGTCTCATTCTAATTTAGGACTACTCATTGAGGTGTATCCATGATATCACTGTTAGACTGTAACCAGAATCTTCAGGTCTCTCAAGGAGTGATTAATCATCAGACAATTGAGCTGACATCCAATGGTTAGTATATTTAATTTCAATGAATTTGAGATAGTGCGTAACCATCTCTCAATATAACTGGTGAGATGAAACAGCTTCATAATGATTCCTAGTTATCAATCGTCATTTAACTAAGACCAGTCAGTAATACTAACTATGTAATTCAACAATCTGCCCAAACCCGTGCAGTAATAATAATCATATATGTTACGTCCTCTACTTAATTAACGCAGAATACCATATACAACTAAAGGCACTCGAACGTATAGATTCCCAAATTTTCAAATCAGAAGACAGAAGAAACCAAGAGAGGTGATTGTTGGGTAAAAATCAAAGATGTACAGAAAAACATGTGCGTTTATAGTCATCAGCGTTTGTTAGAACATCATAGTTATTCAGCCAATACCCAAGAAGGCAAGTCATGCTACCGTCCAATCATTGCATGCCACGTTGAGATTTTAGAAAGCTGTATCAGGTTCCGATTGGGTGGAATCTCTTATGTTCGTTTAGGGCTTCTCAAGGCTCTATCGTACTTCTCGAAGGCCGTCCTGACAATGTGCTTATTAGTGACAACGAGATCTAATTTGCATCACTTCTTATGATAAGACGTGACTATTGGAGTTGAACCATGTCGAATATAAGACAGTTGTTCCTCAATGATATAGGAAGATGGTAGTGTAATAAAGCGAATCGATTGAAACTCAACATGTATACTACTGAGTGTCAGTTCAGTGATAGAGAAGTTTAGTGCTCTTCGTGAGACCTGAAGGTCATGAGTTTGATTCCTAGTGAAGTTGTAAGTGTGTACTTCTAAGCAGTCTCATACAAGGATGAGATAGTTACTTTTCTGGTGCTTCCCATTTTTCTGTGGAAATTTAACTAAGATCAGTCAATGATGCTTACCAAAGAGTATCGTGTTTGTTTTCATTTGTTATTGCTGTTGACACAACTCCATCTGTCAAGTCGTAACATAGTGACTATTCCTTAACTGACTTGAAGGTTAAAGATCATCTAAAAGAATGTTCTTCTAATCAATAAGCCATGATGGTTGATATTTATTAACAATTTGTATCTCCAACTTTGTGGGAATCGATGCTTGATGTGAGATACGAACTTACATCATTTAGATTCGCAGGCAGTTTTGTTATCAATGAACTATTAGGGCAATAGATAAGCTGATGCCGTTCATTCATCACCAGCTACTGAACACCGTAATATTGATTACTACCACATTAATAATCAACTTCAAAACTTAAGTAAACATAACCTTTATTTTCTACAGATCATAAAAACTTTTTTTCCTGGGATATCGGAGAGTTAGGGAATAGTTTGGAAAACATGACCTAATTCATTTCAGTTTTGTTTATTTGCATCACACAACAAAAATCTAACAACATATGGGAGTTTTTCTTGATTCAACTAAGTTTGAGGTTTAAATTTTTCCTTAGATAATCTTTTAACATCCTTTTTCTGTGGACTAGTTTACTTACTCACTTACTCCTGTTACCCATCGTCGAGGAGCATAGGCCGCACACCAGCATTCTACATCCAACTCTGTCCTGAGCCTTACTTTCCATTTCTTTCCAGTTAGCATTCATCCTTTTCATATCTGCTTCTATCTCCCGGCATAATGTGTTCTTTGGCCTTCCTCCTTTCCGCTTCCCTTCCGGATTCCAAGTTAGGGATTGCCTTGTAATGCACATTGGTGATTTTCTTAATGTATGTCCTATCCACTTCCAACGTCTTTTCCTAATTTCCTCTTCAACTGGAAGCTGGTTTGTCCTCTCCCATCAAATGCTGTTGCTGATAGTATCCGGCCAATGGATGTTGAGTATTTCGCGTAGACAACTGTTTAGAAATACTTGTACATTCTTGACGATGGATGTAGTAGTTCTCCACGTTTCAGCTCTGTACAGTAGGACTGTCTTGACGTTCCTATTAAAGACTCTCACTTTGATATTGGTTGAGAGTTGTTTTTAGTTCCATATGTTCTTCCATTGTAGAAATGCTGCCCTTGCATTGCCAATCCTCGCCTTTACATCTGCATCCGATCCTATGTGATATTGTAGTGGTAATAATGAAGCAGATATTTCAGCGCCATGAAATGATGAGAACAAAGCATTTAGATCCCATAGTGGAGGGGGTTGGAAACAGTTCTTTCAGGATAATAGGTGCGCTTCACTAGTGAGTACCAACCACTACGAAACCTACCTAGGTCTAACAGGATTTCCTATCGACTATCTTCAATCAATTATTATCTCATCGTTATGCACGAGATATCGAGTTTCTTATACCAGTGACCACGATAAAACTGAATCAGTAGAACTCAATTAATAATCAAGACTAGATAAATGTGAAATTAGTCATCACTCAATTGTAAATAATAAGGACGGTAATAGGAAAAATCTATGATTGTAAAACATGGATCAGATGCATTTTCGGTATAGTTGGAGAGTAAGTAGTAATGGAATTTAAGGTAGGTGTTTCTTCCTATATGGAATTTATCAACTTGATTTGCTTGTACCCCAATGTTGATGCTCATATCGAAACTCGAATTCAACGTCTGTCGCTTCAAAAAACCAATGCGTTAACAACTTAGTTACTCAATCCAGACACCAATGGCTTGTTTAATGGATGTGAATTTTAAATCAGTTGTAAAGGTTGTGTGAATCATGTTAAAGACCACAATTGATCGATCTCTTTTGGAACATTAGCATTCTGTGAGGAATGCCTGGATATCACGATATCAAACAAAGTGAAATGCTTTGAAAAGTACTTTAATATGCTTGAAAGGCGAATGTATTACTAATTTCATGTTTTAAATATTAAATATTGGGTGAAAGTTATTTTGGAAGCTTTTCATAAGTATTGTACTATGACGAATCGTACCACCATAGATAAAGACTATCACAGCAATCAATAGTATGTCACCCAATTCTTTGCCGTCAGCAAATTCTATTTATTTTTATAAACAGAAAAAGTAAAACTATGTGCGAAATAGGTGGAATATAGCCAGTAGTGGAATCAAGGATACGAGCTTCGTTGTATTTAAGACTCTTTAACTGGATGTACCTAGATCTCACAATTCGAACGTGGAAATTTTAGAACCAAACGTCAACGGATTATCCTCTTGCCCATTGAGTCCAGAAAGCCACTCCCTCAGACAACGGTTATGGATTTTAGCTTTATTTATAATGGCTTGAATTATCCTGTTGTTCGCAAACTAAGACTAAAAATGACTAAAACTCAATCTTAGTTGACATATGTTTGCAATATCATTCATTTTTCTGTTTATTTATTGAGCAACTCCTGAGATACAAATGAATAATTTTGACTGTAGGCTTCATTTCAGTCAACCAAAGTTATCTATATGTGTCTTCTGTGAACGTGCCACTGTAGTACATTCCAACATACCGTTTGAAAAATGTCAATAAAATGAATGGGCACGTTGCTCCAAAGAAGTCGTCCTTTAAAATAATCTATACAGTCAAAAGAATTGGATCAAAAGGAGGTCAAAGCAAAGTCATATGCAATGCTGAGGTGTTGGAAATCTATCAATTCAAGCGTGAACTCTATATGCAAAACGATACGTTCAACCTTTCAACCTTCCTTGACCGAAATTCTATTCAGTTATTACTTACTTACGCCTGTTACTCCCAATGAAGCATAGGCCGCCAACCAGCATTCTCCAACCCACTCTGTTCTTGGCCTTCTTATCTAGTTCTATCCAATCCTTGTTCATCCTTCTCATGTCTGTCTCTTTCTCGGTGTAATGTGTTCTTTGGTCTTCCTCTTCTCCTCTGACTTTCAGGATTCCATGTGAGGGCTTGTCTTGTGATGCAGTTGGGTGATTTCCTCAATGTGTACCCAATCCACTTCCAGTGCTTCTTCCTGATTTCTTCCTCCGCTGGATTCTGGTTTGTTCTCTCCCACAGTAACTTGTTGCTGATATTGTCTGGCCAACGGATCCGAAGTATCTTGCGTAGACAACTGTCAATAAACACCTGTATATTCTGGATGATGGCTTTCGTAGTTATCCACGTCTCCGCCCCATACAGTAGAACTGTCTTGACATTTGTATTGAGAATTCTGATCTTGGTGTTGGTTGACAATTGTTTTGAGTTCCATACGTTCTTTAGTTGTAAAATATGCTGCTCTTGCTTTGCTGATCCTCGCCCTATTCAGTTATACTTATACTTATACTGCGCAATTAGAATACATGTGAGAAAAAAACACCTCTTACCCAACAGATCCTGAAGTAATAGTTCCTGTTCGATTTGATATCCATCGACAAGCATGTTGTTCTACTGGTGGATTAGCATTGATTACACATATTAGTCGTAGATTACAACCAGATTTTTGAAATGGTTCAACGGGGAATATTCGAACAATTGGTGCATCTATAATACAATTATTTTATTGTAAACTAAATTTTTGGTGCGATATATGATTACGTAAGTACAAAAGTAACTCAGCCAAGATGAGTTAAGCTTTAAAACAATCTATGAAAAAAGCTTATTATTTTCGGTTACTGATTGCTTATTGATAAAAGGCTTAATTCGAAGTCAATATTCTAAGGATTTCTTGTGCCATATGATTGGAGGCGATTCGGGAGAAAATACTTAGACATAGGTTTCATACTAGTTGGTACTCTTTAGCAAGATATACTAACAATCTTAAAGGTAACTGGTATTTCCTGTGGGATATGAAATTTAATCACTTACTGTCATAATGTGAGATACTACCATTGAGTTTTCTTGGGTTTGAACTCACCAACTTTTGTTTGTCTAGTTACACCTACTATTGATTTGATTCTATCAGTTAAGTTGCGATAAGGCAGCTAGTTCAAGTGAGTCAATAACGCGTCCATTATATTACAATCCTATGTCTTCAGAGAACTGTTGTTAGGACGTTGGTAACCTATGAACACTTCTGTCAGTTTTTAAATGGTACTTAGCTAGAAATCTAAAAAGTGAAATTATATCCATCATCTAACAGTTTGCAGAAATATGCCAAATCCTACCATTCTTCTTTAACTTTACTGTCAATGATGTTCTAGAAACAGCTCTGATGGATGTAGATGATGATGATGTGGATATGTTGCCTGGAGAAAGACTTTCCGACCTTGAGTATATAGATGATATTATATTACTGTGCGATTATACCCAGGTCATGTAACTTAATCAGTTGGCTATTAGTGTTTGTAAGTATGACATGTGCTTTGCACCTTCCAAGTGCAAAGTACTTTTGCAAGGCCGGCAGCAGCCTGTACCTGAACCCACTCTTGGCAGTAAGCATGTATAATTAGTTGAGAAATTCATATATCTGGGTAGCTGTATAAATACTGATGATAGGATGAGTGATGGGATCAAATCACGTATAGTGAAAACCAAAGCATCTTATTCCAATTTGAGCCTACTCTAGTGCCTGTGTAATGATAGTCTGACTAAAAAAAGGTCAGATCCACAATGAATCACTGAGAGCAGTTTTTCTGGATAATTGTTAAACCTGGCCTCTCCTAGTTGAAGATGCCAAGTGACTCTATGTTTGACCATCGTTTTATTTGAAAGATTACTGACATTCAGTGACAACACCATCTTATTAATGTGGAAGTTCAGCAAAGTGTGCTTGGGCACAGCGGTGATAATTGAATTGATATCACCATCTTGAAACACCAACTTCAGTGGCTTAGGTATGTACTACGAATGACGTCCCATCGAATTCCATATAGTGCATTAATTTCTGACTCTGAGACTGCTTAAAAATAGTGGAGATGTTTGGTTTATGACATGGTGCTGGTGTATGGAAAGGTGTACAGGACCAGGTTCTGTCATTCCTTTACGACTACCTAGTTAGGGTGCTAGAGATAGTGTTATACAGTGAATGGAGACCCTATTAAACATAGCTTAGAATAGAAGCCGGCGGCGATCCTGTCGTAATTTTCTTTTACTTCCTTTATATAAATGAGAGAAACTTCCCTAGATAAAAAAATGCATTCTGGTTGCATTTCTTTTAGTGAACTGACTTAAGTATAATTGGTAACAACCTTTGCGATACATACACTATTTGAATATTTCGATATCAACTATATGATTGCTTATCAGTATTCGAAATGTGGCACCCTCTTATTTCGATTTGATTCCAAGTAGTTTGATGAATGACCAGAGTACTGCAGATTTTTAAACTTGAATGGAAATTGGCTATTCTATGACATTTGATAGTTCACCAGCTTAGATCGATCTGCGGCAACAAAACAAAATCTTGTGAATATGTACCGGAATAAAAATATATTATTGAATGCTTACGCCTAACTTGCAATCGAACTCGCCAAAGTGCTCGACCCATGGAATTTTCAGCATAGCACATATACTCACCGGCGTCATCAGCTTCAACCTGATCAAATTTAATTACATTTCCCTTAAAAAGAAATAAATCAACAAAGGAGCAATGAAAGTTTGTCCTCAAATGTGAAGATAAAACTTTTAAGAAAAACAAGTTTCCATTGAAGTAACAATGTTAACGCTAGAATAGGTGGTCAGATATTAAACCAAGAGAAAACTTTGAACACTATTCATTTCATTAAGCCTGGATGACATTGATATAACGATAACCACTGATAAATCATTTGAAATTAAAGATTAAATCAAATTTGAAAACCATACATAAATATCATAAGCAAAGATGGATAGTGGCTAGCAGTGGAATCCAGGACACACGTTTCGTCTTATTTGGGACTCGCCGGCTGGATATACCTGCATCTCAGAGTTGATGTTCACTTTGGGACTCGAACTCAGTACCGTTCGCTTCAAACGCCATCGCGTTATCCTGATAGTCACTTGCTTGTGCAGTGGGGTGAAGTTTAAACTCACTTGGTATTGTTTACTTGAACCTACCCACTGATGTTAAGGATTGCGATTGATCAGTCTCTTATTGGCATATGTGAATACTATGCGTATTGCCTCGATATTACTAAATCCGCAAGCTAAGTGAATAAAGCAATGGAGTGTGAAGCGAAAGGTATTGGGTTTGAGTCCCAGAGTGAACACCAACTCTGAGATGCAGGTACATACACCTGAAGAGTACCAAATAGGATGAAACATGCGTCCTGGATTCCACTGCTATCCATCTTTGCTCATAATACTTGTGAATTAAGACAATATCGTGGCAATACGCACAGTATGCACATATGCCAATAAGAGACTGATCAATTGTAAATTCAAGTAGACAATACCAAGTGAATTCATACATTATATACATTATTTGCACATCTTCCCTCAGTTGTCCTTTACATACTTCATGATTCTTTTAAGTTCGTTGATATTACAATTGCTCTCTGTTTCCCTTCTTGTTCTTTTCAGTCACTTCAATCTTCTGCTGACAGGAATTCTACTTCCGATTTGTGCCACATTCTACTCATATCTTTCAAAACGAGCAGCATACACCACACTACCAAATATTTGTCTGAGTCTGAACAATTGTAATTCAATTTTCCATGTTCATCTGAGTTGTATATGTAGACATGTAGGTAAGATACTCTATCGACACATTAAAATAGATAAAATGTAACATTACCAAACCATTTCAGTTGTTGAAGGGGTTCTGTGGAGGTTCGCTTAGTCCTTAGATTGTATTCGACAAAAATTAATCTCACTTGAAATGTTTTTGAAACCCAGCGAACACTAGACAGACATTTTATTCTAAAAATAGTCAACCTCATCAAAGTTCTCACATAATCCGAATGACAATCAAGCCCAGAATCTTCAGATCTTATGGTTAACGCTGTTCATAAGTAACTTACAGAAACTTATTTCAACCATAACTATTACTTATCAAATAGTTCTAAACCACCGAATTGATATTCAATAGTGTACATATCTGATTTTAATCCATTGACGATATGAGGTTACAATTTTGGATTGTCTGTAGTGAATAATTATCTGATATTTGACATAATTAAACTCAGAAGGGGTTTTGTGGAGATTTCAGTATTTTCATAGTTGAAATCATGAGTCTAATGAAGCTGGACCACTATAGAAAACCTGGAAGCACTGGACGGCCGTTTCGTCTTATTTTGGGACTCCTCAGCGGTAGTGCGCATACACGATCCCGCCTTGCGAGATTCGAACCCAGGACTTATCAGTCTCGCGCTCGAGGCGGGATCGTGGATGCGCGCTGCTGAGGAGTCCCATAATAAGACTAAACGGCCATTCGGTGCTTCAAGGTTTTCTATGGTAGTCTAGCTTCAGTTGAGTCATTATTTCAACTATGAAAATAATTGAACTCTTCCAATCATAACTTATCAAGTAAACTCTAAAGATTGAATTCTAAAGCTTATCACTAGTGACAGTATGATTATCCTAAGTATACAATGGTTTGTAGAGATTGTAGAATTTCGTCAATTTCCATATTTATTTTGAACAAACAATCAGTGAAATGATCTTTAAAAAGTTGATGCCTAAATGAATCTATAAATGGATACTTCTTGTTCTTCTTCTTTACACATATAAAAACCAATTCAAAATAAATATTTGAAGTATTAAAACAAATAAACAAACAAGCAGAAGCAACTAAAACTAACTACTCACAAAAACATCTAAGTAGATAGTATTTACATTTTTTTTTAAAAGAACCCGATCATTTTGTTTACTTTGGAAAAGAACAATTTGACAAAATTTCACTGATTACCTGTTATTTTGAGTACATACTTTGTTTTTGTAATTTTTAAATAAACAATATTTTATATAGTTGAGATCATGAGTCAATAGAAGATAGACCACCATGGAAACCCTGAAAGCACTTGACGACCGTTTCGTCCTACTGTGGGAATCCTCAGAAGTGCGCATCCACGAAACGGCCATCCAGTGCTTCCACGTTTTCCATCGTGATCTAGCTTCAATTGACTAATGATCTCCACTATATAAAATTACTAAAATCTCCACAAAACACCTTTCTGATAATGATCGTACGCTCACTAGTGACTGGCTCCATGAGGTATTTCCTGGAGTTCTGGTGAGAAGCAGTAACCAGTGGAGTTCAACACATTGATTCTCACAATTAGTTCAATTATTTGCTGGTGGGTTAATCGTGACTTATCTCCTTAACTGTTCTTTCCTTCAGTATTCACAAGATACAACCGAATAGTTTTGAGCAGTGGTGACTCTGATCTATTAACTTATGGAGATAGGGTATATTAGTTATATGATCAGAGGTCAACCGAACTAAACAGTTAATGCGAACTCAAAAGCAGATGAAACCTACAAAGATAATGAGCCACAAATAAGGTTATTAAAATAGTTCGATCTAATGTTTGTATAATAATTTGAAGCAATCGGTAATAATGTTGTCCAGAATAACAATGAAAGTCTTACAATTCAATCATTAAACTTAGAGAACTAGATACCGCCAAAATTTCAGTGTTGCATTTATTCAATCCCGTTAATTAACATGAATTATTATTTTATATAGTTAAGATCATGAGTCAATTGAAGCTAGACCACCATGGAAAACCTGGAAGCACTGGACGGCCGTTTCGTCCCATCGTGGGACTCCTCCTTGGCAGTGCGCATCCACAATCCAACCTCGCGGGATTCGAAAACCAATTCAAGTGGATAATCATTTCTTGAATATTTTCCTAAACTCATTGATGTCAATTCATAAAAATGAAATTTTACATACCGGAAGTTTAAAGTTAAAACTGATTGAAGGACTTTGCTTTCTAATTTTACCTAGAAGACTTTGAATTATGTAGTTCTTTTCAAATAAGTATTAGTTCTTCCTTTTAACGTTATTAACCAATATAATTTCTCTAAAATTCGGATGTCTTCATGAAATTTGCTACTATGAGTATGGGGTTTTGGAGATTGTTGAGTTTGGTTGAAATGATGAACTGATCAATGCTAGACCAGTGTTGGAAACCTAGAAGAACTGGATGGCCATTTCCTTCAAATATGGGACCCTCTCCAGTAGTGCACGTCCACGACTCTACACACGGCAATCGAATACTGGACCTTCGGTACGGTGCATGAACACTTAACCTCTAGACCATTTAACCGGCATCCTACGGTATTAATGACTAACTTTAATCAATCGACGATATTGTGTGACTATCTTCTATTGCGTTCGGTGAGTAACTGTGTTATATCCGGACGAAGAATAAATGAATGGTAACTGGTAGGAGTTATTGATGTAGTATTGTCACACATATTCTTTTTATATAACTATGAAGTAACTATATTATATGCATATTCATATTCCAAGCTTTGCAAGCTTGCAAGCTTTCATTTGACCTATTAGCTACTGTGATACGATTTACCATTCTTACCTTCTTCCCAATTTATTAGTTACAGTATCCCACACTCACAGACACTTCGGGCTTGATCATGTATAATAATTATTTTTCATTTCATGCTCTGATGCGTTCACCACGAAAAAATGTAATTGATCATCAAGTCGACGATTTTATGTTGTTAGTTATTTCACTATAGACTTTAACTACTCATAAGTAGTCAATGTTATATCGCAAAACAATTTTTAAGGTTAATATTTACTTGAATTAAAGAGTTAAATTATCGTGAAAACAAAACATGAGGAGGTAATGTTAACAAGAAGCATGTGACATAAAACTAAGAATTGTCACCTCCATTACCATTTAGCTTTAGTTAGTTAATTAAGCTAGATGATGTGCGAAACAATAAGAGATCCCTATAGAGCATTTCAACAAACGGGTTCTACAATTATAATACATTAGAACCATTGTATTATATCAGAGTAGGATTGTGGAGACTGTTGAGTTTTAAACGAGATCATAAACTGCTCAATGTTGAACCAACATGGAAAGCAGTTTGATCCCTGTCCACTTGTCTAGAAGTTAAACGCTTGCGAGAGAGACCGAAGGTCCTGGGCTTCAATCCCGCGTGTGGGACCGTGTATGTGCAATGATGACGAGTCCCATACTAGGACAAAACTGCAGCCCAGTGCTTCCATGTTTTTGATGGCGGTCCAACATTTATCGATTCGTGATCTTAATGTTGTATTATATGATGGGAAAAAATAAGCCATACGTAAACGATGGTGAATTAGATAATGTTATATGTTGCAATAGCAAACTTTTGTATCAATTACAACTTAAATACATCTAAAATCTGTCATTCACAAGTTTTTAAGGCCGCTTAAGAAGTGACCAGAAAAGTGAAGTGGGATATGTGTTCGTTTTTTTCAGTGTTCAACATGTGTGAAGTCAATCACGAACTGATATCAGCTGGAACGCCCTTGCGAGACCAAGGGCTCTAGGTTCAAGTCCTTAGTGCGAGGTTGTAAATACCCACCTCTGAGGAGTCCCATAGTACAACAAATTAGTAAACCAGTGATTACCGATAGACCATTAAGTCGGCCGGCATCCATGGTGTTACTGTCTAACTTCAACCAATGCACGAAGTTGAGCAACCGTTCACCAATTGTGTTCAGTGAGTTCCTATCTCACGACGGACGTGTTTTGAACTCCACTGGTAAGTCATGGATTCGAATCTCGCGAGGCAAAGTCGTGGATGCACAACGCTGAGGAGTTCCACAATAAGACGAAACGGCCGTCCAGTGCTTCCAGGTTTTCCATGATGGTCTAGCTTCAATTGACTCACACTTTCAACTATTAAAATACTAAATCTCCACAAAAAAACCCTTATGATAGTTCTATTTAATTTGACAACTTAAAACATTGACAAGAATATAAATATCAGCTTTGTTTTTTTGAAAAATCAACAAATTGTTCCAATATTTAAATTCACATTATTATTATCTTGCTTTAATTACTTACACTTTTCACAGTACCGAAATTGCGTATAATACTGCTTGCTCCAGCTGTACGTCTCCAATATATAAATGGTGGTGGAATACCATCTGCATTACAGTGCAATGACACTGGATCACCAGAATCTACGTCTGTATCATAAGATGACATATGTCGAACTATGTTTGGTTTCGCTGCAAAATAAATTAGTAGAATGACGTTGATTACTAGTTAAATCACAATGTTAATGGTTGTTTTTTCAGCTAATCTAAGACATTGTTGAGGACGTTAGATCCCCAGAACTCACTCCGAAAAGGTCCTAATTTTGCAATTTTATTCTGAAAATTTGAATTTTGTGTTTTCGTGCCAAGAGACGCTTAGTTGACAGCTTACATTTCCTGCTCGGAAATCCTTGACCGTCATTGGTTGACGGATTTTTTTAGTACGTTATTTTGTGGCTCACCCAAGGTAGTTTCTATCATTGTATAAATAAGCTTGATTTGTGTGCTTAGTGACTTCGTATTTTTTGGGGTACTTGTAAAATATATTCTCTTTGCCTCATCAAGACTTCTTGATCTAGTTAGCAGGGCCGTGGACAACGGATTAGAGCACCCTATCGTGTTAGTATGTTTTCGACTTTCGTTCCGTTTACCGTGTAAGGTGAACTCGTAATAGTATCAAGCATATCAGACATGTAGATATCACTTTGGAAAACACCCAAAGCTTTAGCATTTATTACAAAATCGGTTTAAGAACCTTGACCCATCAACCAAAGGTATATATAACTATTCCAAAGTCATAAGACTAGATTTTCTGAAGTATAATACTATTATAAGAAGACATAAACACTAGGGATATGCAAAACTCAGAACATTAGGTATTCAGAACTCTATTAGAACATCTACAAAACAGCCAAAAATAAGTTATGTTCTCAATTTAGATGAATTTCACAACAGTCATAACGAAAATTGTAAGTTAGCAAACACTACAGAGTTGCATCAAGAGAAAAAATTCAGACACAATTTTACGAAAATAAGGTTTGATGAAAATCAGTGACTATAACTTATCATCAGACATCCAGTAACAAGTAACATAAAACCAGGCACATTCCTGCGTCATTTTATCTCACTACAATATATCAAAACAGCCAGGTTGAATTATCAAGAAAAAAAGTTGCAGAAGTAGTAACACAGTCGGCCGTAACAGGAAAGATTATGCACGGATGACTCAAAAAGTTAAAATTAACTGATGAAATAAAACATATTACATAACTTTAAAACTCGAGATTTGAGAGAAGACAGGGAGTAAATACATCTGTGCTATCTCCAATAAATCAGTTCCATATCACCCGTCTCTAACCATTGCTTATGATAATTGTATAGATCTCAAGCAAATAGTCTAAACCTATCCACATGGCTCAGTCCAACAGTAGATGGTTTTGTGACTGATGAGACTGATAAGTGTGGGTTCGTCTAACATTCTTTTGGCCTGCTATTCCAATAAACATCACATGCTGAAGCTTGTGGTAGTTAATGAAGGCTCATTTCTGTTATATCCTAGAGAGAACATAAGTACGGGTAAATTCCGGGATCTATTAATAAACAATTATTGTTAATATATTCTTATTGTTTACCTATTGAGTGATTAGAATGTGTATATCCATTATCATCTAATTACAAGCTTCATTATGGATTATTATTATTATACGAATTACTGTTCTCAAATTATAATCAGTTTATTAATCACTGTTTCGCACGTTCATAACCACATTTGGCTTGATCTTGTACAAATATTATTTTCTATTATATGGTATGATGCCGTCTGTCTGTCTGGTATATAAACCGAGTATGCTTGAAATAAATGATTCGCATAGAAGAAGCTGTAGTTGATGTTCTGGACTCAGTTGGAAGGTCTAAGCGGACAAGGAACCAACAAGGACGCTAGACTGCTCATAACGGTCAAACGTCACTATTTTTGGCACAGTGTTAAGATTGGAAAAGTCATACTTCGATTGATGGATAATTTACGTGATAAAAAGCCGGACATGAAACATAACGAATCGGCATACGGTTTTTTTATCTTTAATAAATTCATAACAACTTCCTCATTAACCGACTTTCTATCTTCGCTTAGTGTCTCTGTCTAAACTCAACACTGATGACTTAGTGGTCCTAAAATACGCAAGCGATGCTTTGTAAACATCTATTGTCAAATGCCAACAACCTACGAATTTAATCTGCACATGAAGGTCACAACTTATAGTCATAATTTGAAACAGATCAACTTTTGTTCAGAATACTCCTCGGTTAAAAAGCCAACATCTCTCATTCGCCAAATATGATGTACATTTGCAAATGTACAATGAGCTCGCTGTATCAATATTGAGATTCCATTAGACACTAACCCATAATAGTTAATGAGACATACATGACAAGTAAAGTGATCGATGTTCTCAACTACTTCACTCCACATCATTAATTTAGACTTGTTTACGAATCAGTCTTGAAACAATACTTTTCATTTGGAGAAATACTCATTCTAAACATAATTATTTTGTCACTCAATGTGTTTAGAACACTTTGTTATGTAAGAGTTTCTTTTAAGAAACACTTTGTCATCTGTGTATTCAAGTTTTATAAGCGAATCCCTTCGTAGGAGGCCAATCTTTTAAATGTGTATATATACACATATACAATACATCTTTGAAGGAGTTAAACAGAAATGGGAAAAGTGGACAATCCTGATTTAGTGTTACTGATCCTGACAACAATTTGTCATAACCTTTAACCTCACCAGTGCAGCTTGAGTAAAGAGCCTTCAAAAGATTAAAGCACTACTTTTATATCCTTTACCATACAAAGAAAGTATATATTAATGACCAGCTCTTTAGGACGTGTATTTATTTGACAAGTAATGCACTTATGCAGATATATATATATATTCAACTTACCAAACACACGTAGAATTCTATGAACTCTTGCTGGTTCCACAGACCCAGTGTACTGACATTCACATGTATATTTACCTTCATATGATTTGTCCAAAGACATTATTTCTAAACTTAAAATATATACAGTTAAGGTATCAAATGTGTATCTATATATAAACAGTCTGTGAAAGCTTTTTGGATTTTTAACGTCAACTTTTACCAGAGATTGTGGTCAGTTAGAAAATAATATCGAGAGTTAGACAGTTGCCTATAGATAGTAGCAGGTAGTAGCAGGTCTAAGTTGGTAAACTACTGAAATTCCAAATATTCATTAAGAATTTAACAAGCTTATCAAGAGATCTAAAATTCGCCGGTTTGATTAGGTGGTAAAGTTGTGGGTTTTACCCTAATGGGTAATCACAAACTAGAAGTAGGCATGCAGATCTCATTTATTTTCAAAATTTCTTCTACTGATACCGGTTTCGAAAAAAATAGCTCCAGAGAATTACATTATACAGAAGAAACCTCAATACAGTTTTTCTTCTTCATGAAAACTATTTTCGTATGAATACTTGGTATGACTTTGCGGTGAATGGACACTAATTAGGTGAGTACTTTGTTACGCATTGGCTATGTAACAAAACGTATACTTAGTTAAGATAAACTACAGATAGTAGGAAGTGTGAAACAAACGTTTTTTGGATAATTGTGATGCCCTTCAATCAGACTTTATGTTAATAAAACTGAATAAACTGTCACTAACTTTTAAATTTGCGTATGCAGTAGATAATTAACATAGTTTTTAAACCATGTCTACGTTTCTTACTACATAAAGGTGTTGAATGCTGAAATGAATACAAGAAAACCACAAATGTCTTGGCTCCAAATTCTATAATCCGAAGACTTTCCTAATATAATAGAACTCTCTATGTAAAAATGACATACTGTCAGATTTCCAGAAATTCTAGTTCCAGTACTGTGAATGCTATTTCTTAGTTCAACATGATTTTCCATCAATTTAACCAACAAAAAATATGGTTGTCTATCTCATACTTATGTGAATAAATGACTAGAAAAACATTCAAAGTTATCAGCATTCAAAAAGTCCATTACAAGCAAACATAATATTATGATGGTCAGTTATCCATTATCAATTTACAGTCTGACACTAATGTGTGACGACAAACCAACTTATAACGTAGGCAACGATGACACTCTCTCAGAAAACTTATATCTGAAATATGACTTGACAAAACACTCAGGCTCTTAATTTCACCTCGCGTTGTAGTTGGGTATTACGAAATGGATGACACTATTGAGTGAACTGAAAGTAACACCATTTAATAATCGAAACACATATCAGCTATATAAATATGTAAATTGTAGTCATAAATTCAAACTAACCGAACGGAATCTTGCTGTTTTCCTTGACCAATTTCCCATCTGGACATATCACGAGACATAAGACCATCATTAATTACTTCCGAAACTTCATCACCAGATAAACTGTCTCTCCGCCAAAATATCTATGTATATGAATAAAACATGCTCTATATGTAGAGTAATACCCTAGCTCCACGAGGCATATTGAAAACATTACATTGTATAATAACTTTCTCCCCTACCAAACCATTTATTAAAACGGTTTTATTCTCAAGATAAACAACTCTGCCAGTAAGTGCATCTGGTGTTTCATCATAAATCGACACCTCAGGCGTAACAACCTGCTCACAAGGAACTAAAAAAAAGTAAATAGGAAAAGCACAAACCATATGGGATGAAAAAGGCAACTACGACGATTATCATGAAGAAATAATTACAACGGTTAACCGGAAACCATGACAAGTCATCTGACACATGCGTAAAATTCAACCTTGTGATTAAAAAATATTTGCTTTCCATTTGTACAAAGTAAAAGATAACTAAGTACGCTATTTCCTTTAAACAAGCCTAACTAAAAAAAATCCAGGCCCATTCGTATTCGTAGGAGTAAAAAAGTAAGCAGTAATATTTTAAATGGTGTATACAAACAAATTCCGTCTAATCCTCAATATCTCAGTTACAGGCTTGTATAAATAGACCAACTTCTAATTGTCTCCCTATTGATTCTGTATGGTTTCAGTTATTTGGTTATGTCCAATGAGTTGTATTCTAGCTACTGGACTGCATTGATTCTAATCAGTTTCGTAGGCATTTGTGGTTCCGTGTAATTCGAGTGAGTGCGTTAGTCTCAGAGCAGTACGGTTTCTGGATACCGAAAGATATCAGATTATCAGGCAAGAGGTTGGTTGATTGCAATGTGAGAAATAAAGTAATTATTTGACTACTAAGAGAAGACGATCGTTTCAAGAATACACAAGTACATAGTGGTAAATAAATCCTCGAAATCACTGGCTGCGTAGGTCTTCAATATTTTAAGTGATCAGAAAAGAAATGGGAAGTGGGTACTGCTATGCGGTTTTGACAGCCGTGGTTAATTATAAGCAACGCATCATACACAGCTGGTCCGAGATGGGGTTGACAATCCAGGGGTGAGTACTTGTTTGTCATGTCTCCTCCTAAATCTAGGTGGCGTAGATCACTTTCGTTGGGTGGGCATAAGAGACGGAGGCAATTCCTAGTGAGAAAATGTGCGAGCGTATCAGGTTTTTCACTCTCCGATGATCAACCTCTTGAGAGCTGCTGATTCAGAAACTTGAACAGGGTCCTTATAGAAGTATGAATACATATATCTGGACATCTGTGGAAGAAACAAAACAATAAGTAAGATCCAAAACACAATAAAATACTGGTGTCCAAAACTTGCGAAACTTATTATCAAATGCACCCATAAGGGATCGATTTCTATGGTTATATGATAGATATTTGCTGTAATGCTATATATGAGGTTCAGTTTTGACTCCGAACTTGAATTTGGATGGGTTGGTCGATGGAATGACTCATCTGGATAGGTTACAAGCTATGCATATGATGTTAACAGTGCTTGCCGTAAAGGTATAGACTAACAAGCGCTATAGAATTCACTCTCGTTAATTTATGGACCTTTGTAGTCACTTAGCTGTGGTCCATATGCAGTCAATACAGTTGATTTGAGAAGGATTATTATGATAACCAGAAGTATTTGAATTGTAGTATAAACTAGTAATCCCAGGAATAACGCAATGTAATCAAGAAGTATTAGATGAGCCCGAACGAATGTACTGTATTTGAAATTCAAAATCAAAATAGTCATCAATACAAAGAAATCATCTGTTCATATAAACACCACATCCTCCACAGCTCAAATTTGAGTGTAAGTGTCTGTAATCGATTGTTCGTCTTCTTAAGTTCATCCTACGTATGTCCGAAAGTGTACTGGATGTAGACTCGGTATTATCTAGAATGCACTCGTAAGTATTAGAATTAACAACCAAAATTGGAACAGACTCACCTGGGTTCTGGAATTGTATACAATCATCATGTCGGTTGTGTAGTGAAACCATTGATATTTACAATTTGCATCATAGACTTTCCAACAATATCCTCCCCCACGAAATAATGTTGGGTCTTCATATCCCCAAGTTATGAATAATGTGGCTTCATTTAAAACATATTTCACATATTGACTAAAATATTCATCAGAAGTGACTTCATGATAATTATAAACAACAGTTGATATGAAGTTATCCGAATTGTAACGAAAATCGAACTCACTTAGTACTCATGCTTCGCATTCAATAAGTTTCCCACAAGAAGAAAATGCATTATGAGGATAAATAATATGAAATCATGATTTGATTCTTTTGAAATATTTTCATCACATTCATTAAGAGTTCCATTAGAGAATAGTGGATCATTATGAAATCAGTATCTACCAAAACTGAGTCCGGTTTCTGATCATAATTTGACTCATTCAACATATTATCCTCAGAGCTGTAAGAAATTTCACCAGAAATATGTGAATCATTATGACAAACCACATCTGGTATAATAACACGAGAAATCTGACAAGAAGTTGGTTGATTAGAAACATTTGTCTCACAGTGATTCTGGGTTTCGTTCAAATCCTGGACTACTCTGTGACGTTGTACCTCTTCTAGAAGTCTTAAATAAAAATGGGTGATCATTGGAAACACCCAACCTAATAGGATCACGATAGCAAATTTTAGCATTAATTTCAGCTAAATGAATCATGGTATTACAAACTGACTGAATGTGTCCAGTTTCATCACATTTCAAGCATTTAGAATTACGAAATACACATGAATTACATGGATGAAACTTGCCACAGAACAAGCATTTACCAAACTTGTGCTCATCTTCGTGAACTGTCTCACAACTCAATCAATTTTTATCTGAATAACCTTAATTACGTATTAGACTGCGACAACGTAGTGAAGTAGTGGAATTCCTGATCTCCTGGTGAGTGATTTCTTTGAATTCTTTCCCTTAACTGCATTCGAAATTTGTATACTTTACATGATCCAATAGTAGTTGCTTGAAAATTGATTAAAGGAGTGAAATCGTCTTGTCTGGAAGTGCCAAAGTCTTTATCAGGCTGTATACTTCTTTTCCGATGAATGTAAGGAGATGGATCACAATATTAACATCCTCGACTTCTTTCTTGGTCATAGCTCAGATTTCGAACCTTTCCATGGAATCCTCAAAAGCTGTAAATAAATTCCCAAAATCAGCAGCTCTGTAAGTGTTCGACATTGGATGATGACCACATTAGTTAGAATGGACTCATTTAGCTGAAGGCGCTCGGCTGTGCATCCGTACCAGATCACGTTTTCAAGCGGCGTGAGCAGCATCTCCTGCGATCATTAGCCAGACTAGATCAGTCATTTCTCAATATATTGATAGCCCATCAAATATACCTTCCAACCTCCTCGCTTCTGACTTTTGATTTCACTATGTGGAAGCGGTTCGAATATAGGTGTTACTGGTAAGGTATTGTGATACTACAATACCTATGTTATCTTAAGCATCAAAAACTGAATGTATGTCCAACCGTTCCATCACAGGCTCCATCGCGATCCCAATGTGATATTTAGGGGTAGTTAAATTGTAGTATAAACTAGTAATCCCAGAAACAACACAGTTTCATCAAGAAGCGTCAGATGAGCACGGACGAACGTACTGTATTTGGAATTCAAAATCAAGGCAGTCATCAATAAAAGGAAATCATTGGTTCATAAAAACACCATAAAACTCCCTTCAATATTAAGTTTGTCGATACCGAATGCACCTGTGGTATCCATCCTTTCCCTATCTACTTACTTCTAGCATGTTACGTCATAACACTAATTATAATTCGGTGGCTATTTTCCTCTTCAACACTTTTATGAGTCTGGATCTTAACAAACGCTTTTTGTTATACAGTACGATGAAGTATATATGATGTGCATTTGTGAACTTATGACATTCTTTTTCATTTACTATTGAAATCAAGATGTATTAAAATTTGCGACAGCTAATTAAAATCAAAGTCTTCTCCTTTTTATTCTCTCCTATCCATCATCTTACCAACTAAGCAAACTACTTATTTTTCATAGTTGAAATCATCAGTCAATTGAAGCCACACCACCATGGAAAACCTGGAAGCACTAGACAGCCGTTTCGTCCTGTTGTGGGACTTCTCAGCAGTGCGCATCGCGAGATTCGAACCCAGGACCTACCAATCCCGCACCAGAGCACTTAACCGATAGACCACTGAGCCGGCATTCAACGGCGTCAAAGTCTAACTACTTATTTGTCCTTGAATCAATCGTCTTCTCTTAGTAGTCAAATAATTACTTTATTTCTCACATTGCAATCAACCAACCTCTTGCCTGATAATCTGATATCTTTCGGTATCCAGAAACCGTACTGCTCTGAGACTAACGCACTCACTCGAATTACACGGAACCACAAATGCCTACGAAACTGATTAGAATCAATGCAGTCCAGTAGCTAGAATACAACTCATTGGACATAACCAAATAACTGAAACCATACAGAATCAATAGGGAGACAATTAGAAGTTGGTCGATTTATACAAGTCCGTGACTAATATATTGGATATACGTATTGCATACTGTACACATGACCTTCATTTTGTCTCAAATATAAAATTTATCTGTCTTGTAATACTATCTCGCTGGTTGTTAATATCCTTCAAGCTTTTATTTAAAAACACTCCGGAAAACTAATAGCAAGAAAGTGAGTTATAATTCAGTTTCGTAAGTTCAAAATATGTTTCAAAAAATACTCGATAAAATTTATCCTCCAAATTAACTGCCGAAAATTATTTTGCTAGTAAATCTCTTCTGCGAGTGGATTTTCAAGAATAAAACTCGAACAGCATTCTTTACCTTATATTTGACTCATATCAGTTACGACTAGACTTATGATCAGATTTTTGACGTTTTTATTGTTGATTTAGATGTCAACCATTCGATTCAAGTACATAACTTAGCGAATTTAGAACAGTTCGAGTTTTATAATGAAGATACGACGGACATTCTAGTAATCCCACTTTTCATTTGAGTATGCGTCATATATTAATCAATTGGTACCGGTAGTTATAATATCAAAAGAATTTGTAAACAACTGTGAAATTCAAAAAAAATTCAAATGATAAATCATGTTTTTTATCACCGGGCTAGAACCTAGAGGTTTCAACATCTTTTATTGCTAGTTTATTTACAACACAGAACACAAATTATTCATCAAACTTGAAATTTTATCGTAACAACTGTATGGCTAATCGATAACAGGGTTAGATTACTGCTGCATAATAGACAAAAACAGACTTTCCTCGATCGGACTTTATTTATAGTAGTCAGCTGTTAGTATGGATAGTGATCCTAATCATGATTTGTAACTGGTACATGGATTAGAGGTGTATTATGCTATTGTATTTCATTGTTTGACGTTCTTTCTTCATACCTCTTTTGTGAGTCAGTTATATTGCGTTAAATACAATGAGTTATTTTTCAAGGGTGTTTTTCTTATTCTCACTCCTTCAATGAAGTAGGTTACCTAACTGTTTCCCATATGCTAAATACTCCGTTGTATAATTCCCTCTTCTTTCTCCCAATTTCAGTGTAAACAGTGATTCAAAGAGAGTTGGTAAAACTGTCATCTGTAAACCGAGAACTGAATGTCAAAAATTGCAGTTGTAATAAACAAAAAACGTTTAGTTTACTTTGTTTGCCTAAGAACTTTCAAACAGAATTGTTTTTCTAGTACTTGCAAATGCTTGCATCGTTAGCACACTTTATGTAGAGAAAGTATAAGTGTAACCTAAAACGATCAGGCAGACTGAATTCCATTGAGGTATCTAGATCAGAATAACATTAGTGAGATTTACTGACGATGCGCTTGACAAATAGATTTTGTCTTGTCAATGATTTTTCATGTTTTTAATAAAAGCAAACATACTTGAAACAAAATCTAATAATTACCTACTTATTTACTTACTCCTGTTACCACCCGTAGTCGATCGTAGACCGCCCGCCAGTATTCTACATCCGACTCTGTCCTGGGCAATCCTTCCAGTTCTTTCCTGTTACCATTCTTTTTAACCCCCTGTGTTCTTTCGCCTTCCTCTTCTCCGTTTCTCTTCAGAATTCTAAGTTAGGGCTTGCCTTGTGATGCAGCTTGAATATTTCATCAATGTATGTCTTGTCCACTTCCAATGTCTTTTTCTAATTTCTTCAGACGAAATTCGGTTTGTTCTCTTCCACAGTGAGCTGTTGCTGATGGTGTCGGGCCAACGGATATTGAGTATCTTATGTAGACGATTCTTCAGAGATACTTGTACCTTTTTGATGATTGATGTGGTAGTTTTCCAAGTTTCAGCTCCGTATAGTAGGACTGTCTTGACGTTCATATTGAAGATTGTGACTTTGATATCGTTTGAAAGCTGTTTCGAGTTCTATATGTTTTTCAGTTGTAGGAGTCAGGCCCATGCTTTGCCAATCCTCTGATTTACGTCTGCATCGAATCCTCCTTGTTTATCGATAGTGCGTCCCAGGTACGTGAAAGATTCCATATTTTCCAGAGTTTTTCCATCAAGTTTGATTGGTTTGGCTGGTGCTCTCCGTGTCGTGTTTCAGGATCCTGGTCTTTCCTGTTTGTGTACTGATGTCTACTGATAAAGGGGTCTCTCTTACACTGACTGTATTTAAGTGTATTTGTTCGTGTGCATAGGATAGAAAAGAAAGGTCACCTACGAAGTTCGAACCTTCCAGTTAATTCCGGGCTGTCCATTGTATTCCGTGCTTCCACTCAGATATGGAGGTCTTCATAATCCAGTCAACCACCAGAAGAAAGAGGAAAAAAAGAGAGTAAGCAGCCTTGTCTGACTCTGGTCCTTACTGGAAATGCATTTGTCAGCTGTCCTCCATTCACCACTTTGCAATGTAGTCCATCGTGTAAATCCCGTATGATACTGACGATCTTCTCGAGTACACCATAGTGTCGAAAACTTTTCCATAATGTTCTCCTTTCCACACTGTCAAATGCTTTCTCAAAGTCTAGAAAGTTGATCTACAGTGACGATTTCCATTCAAATGACTGTTCAACGATGATTTCCAGTGTCACAATTTGGTCTGTTCACGACTAATCCTTACGGAATTCGACAAGTTGATCTCGAAGCTGGATGTCTACTGGATCTTTCATCTGGTTCAGCAGTATTCTGTTAAAAACATTTCCTGGTACCTTTTTTTGAATAAATTGAGCATTGGGTAGATTGTTATAAATAAATAATATATTTGTAATATCCCAATGAGTAGAAAAATTAGATTTTCTGACGTTTCGTGACTCAGTGTAAGCCACTTCTTCAGAGAATAAATAACCAAATTGACATTAATCCAAGTTTAAATAGTACAACGGAACAATCCAAGAATATTAGGTGATCAATCAAAAACAGGTCTGAATAAATCACTGTCACGTCATTTCATTTCGGTCAAGGTGATTCATAAGCGACATGTATGTAATTTTGTGTGTATGTATGCACTGTTAATAATGAAAACTGTGTGACCTTTATAATTACAAAGGATAGAGTTGGTGGTGATCTGGTGGTGATCTGAAGCTATGTCAGCTCCTCACCTGTTTTTGATTGATCACCTAATATTCTTGGATTGTTCCGTTGTACTATTTAAACTTGGATTAATGTTAATTTGGTTATTTATTCTCTGAAGAAGTGGCTTACACTGAGTCACGAAACGTCAGAAAATCTAATTTTTCTACTCATTGGGATATTACAAATATATTATTTATTTATTTCCTGGTACCGATGGTATTTTAAAGAAGAATGTGAAGAATCTTCACAGATACTTCTATGTTTTACTTCAGTGCTTTAGCTGGAATATTGTCAGGTCCTCCTGCTTTTCCACTCTTGGTTTGTCTGATGATCATTCTGATTTCTTTGATCGTTGGCGGAATGACAGCTCTAGGGAGGTCTGTGTGTGTTGCTTCGATGTTTTGTGGGTTCAGTGTTTCTAGTCTATTCAAGAATTCCTCGAGGTATTCGACCCATCTGTTCCTCTGTTATTGAATCTCAGTGATTGTCTTGCCGTCTTTGTCCTTGACCAATCTCTCTGGTTTACTATATTTCTCTGCTAGTCTCTTCGTTATGTCATATAGTTTTCTAATATTTCCTTCTCGTGCAGCTTTTCCGCTGTCGTCGCTTACTCTTCCATATATTTCTGCTTTTCAGCCTTGCTGCTCCACTTCACTTGCCTATTTGCTCCTGTATATTTCGTTTGTGATTCAAATTTCTCTGTTCTTATTCAGCTGTTGTCAATTGCTCTCCTCTTGTTCTTCCTTTCTTCAATCTTGTCCAAAGTTTCCATAGAGATCCATTACTTATGATGATGCTTCTTGTGAGCTAGAACCTCCTGACACGTTGAAATTAGTGCTTCCTTGGTACCTTTCCAGTTGTCCTCCATTGTAGTTTCTCCTTTCAGTGGATCCTGTGGCTTGGAACCCGTTGTTGAGTTATCTTGAATTCGCTGAGTTTGTCATTATCTCGAAGGAAAGCTGTGTTGAACCTTTGTAGTGCTGTTTATCCAATTGTCCAGTGTTTCTTTAGCTTCAGTTTCACATTGGCCACAAGCAGGTGGTGATCTGAAGCTATGTCAGCTCCTCACCTGGTTCTCACATCTTCCATTGACCTTCGGAATTTTCGGTTGATGCAAATATAATCCATCTGGTTCTCTGTGATGTGGTCCGGCAAGATCCATGTCGTCCAATTATATTTTCTTATCCGTAATTGTCCACTTCGACTTTAGCGTTTAGATCTCCCATCAGGATTGGGAGGTTCTTTCTTGAGCACATCACTACGATTGATTGCAGCCTCTCATACAACTGATCTTTATCGTCGTCGTAGCTATCATTAGTGGGTGCATAACATTGGATAACATTCATTGTGATACCCTCCTTTGTTTTTATGGATTCTTTGATTATCCTGGGTTCGTGAAATTCCCATCCAATAAGTGCATTTCATGCTTCCTCAGACGGCATTAGAGAGACTCCTTAAGTGTGTGGAGCATTTTTCTCTTCATGATCAGAGTACAACAGCATCTCCCCTGTATCTAGCCATTGCTGTACAGCTTGTGTCCAATGAGTTTCATAATTCTTCATACAATTTGGAGGACAGAGTTCAAATGGTTTAATTTGTTTAATCTGGTTAGCGTTTTATAAGCAAGATTGTTTTCTAAGGGATGGGGTTACCGACCCCATACCCTACCCTCCTCTTTCGTGTGGACTTTGCACCGGCAGTGACTCTGAAAGAGTTATAGGCAAAGTTTAAACAAAATTTAACATACATTAGATAAAAAAAACAGATGATGAGCATTTTTTGACATTATTCTTACTATTGTCAAAGTAATCTGGCACCTTTAACAAACACAATGATACAAAGTTCTATGCACTTGAGATTATTAATGTTAAGCATTTAGACGGATAAATATTGGTAAAAATGGGCAGCAAATAAGTATTTTCGATATCAGCGAAAATGTGTGCTAGTGAAGAGATGGAGAAATAAAAATGAGTATTGTCAAGGAAACAAATAAAAATCAATGAGGATAGTTCATAATCTGCGAAACATTGTAGTCAAAACTGTAACATTAAAGCGTAACTTTTTCACTTTTATGAGGCTAAATAAAACTTCATCAGGACCGTCATCGGTTTTTATTTCGAGCCACGTCCGA